AAGGAAACAAAACTGACTCGGAACTGATGTTCGAAGTCACAGTTTCATACCGAACAGCCATTTAGGATACACTCGAAGAATACGGGTGGTGTTGTGATAGCGTACGTTTCTTGTCAGCGGCGCTTGCTTCGCAACTGTTTGTGGTAATCGCAAATATGTCGATATTTACGCCAACGAATCAAATCCGGCTGACCAACGTAGCGGTGGTGAGGATGAAGAAAGGCGGGAAGCGATTTGAAATCGCCTGTTACAAGAACAAAGTTATGAGCTGGAGATCAGGAGCGTGAGTACCAGGAGATGTTAACGCCTCCTGTGCCTGACTGCTGTTTTACTTCGTTGTTGCTAGAGGAAACTTTGACAATTCATTTCTCTTCCACTTTAAATCCTCTCGATGGTCGTTACATGCTAAATCAGCCAAAAATGCTCCAACACGTCATGTTTTCATTACAGAGAGAAGGACCTGGACGAGGTTTTGCAGACGCACTCTGTTTTCGTCAATGTTTCCAAAGGCCAGGTGGCGAAGAAGGATGACTTAACCAAAGCTTTTGGGACTGACGACCTTACAGAAATCTGTAAACAGGTATAAAACATCCCCATACGTACACATTGTAAGCACAAGCCATGCCATTTACTGCATGTAGGCTTGGTTGTTTTGTTTTTTCTCCTGAAGATCTTGGCCAAAGGAGAGCTCCAGGTGTCAGACAAAGAGAGGCAGACTCAGCTGGAGACCATGTTCCGGGATATAGCTACTATTGTGGCAGAGAAGTGCGTCAACCCTGAAACCAAGAGGCCGTACACAGTCAGTCTGATTGAGCGGGCCATGAAGGACATCCACTACTCTGTCAAGCCCAACAAGAGCACAAAGCAGCAGGTGAGGAGGATACCATGTGTTTCCCTTTCTTGTGTTGTGTTAGTAAATGGGCTGGTTCTTATTTAGCATCTTTCTACTTTACCTGAGCACTCAAAGCCCTTTAAGCAGATATCTGGGGAGCTCAGAGTAGAGGTGCTGCTCGTTCATGTCAAAAGAGCCAGTTTAGATGGTTTGGTCATCTCAGGCCTGCTGGGCACCTCTATTTAGAGGTTTTCTGGGTATGTATGTATGTATGGAGACCCTGTGGGGGGATGCAGAACCTGCTGCAGAGCTTAAATTTCTTATCTGGCCTGAGAGCACCTCAGGATCTCCCAGGAGGAACTGGAGGCTTAACATGGAGCCAACAGCAACTTCAGATGGAAAATAGTGCACGAATGGGTGTATTTTCCTTTAAAGTCATTAAAAATCATGTTAAATATATTTTAAAAAAATTCTAATTCATCCATCCATTTTCTTTAAAACTGGTTATATATACGGGTCTTGAGAGAGGTGGCTGGCGTCTACTCCATAGCACTAGGGCATTAGGGCATCCTGGCTAACACAGACAGACAACCTCAGGCTCTCATATTCACCTACTGCCAATTTTGAATCACCAGTTCCTCTGATAGTCCAAAGACTACGAGATGAATCTAGAGCACTTGGAGAAAACCCACACAGACACAGGAAGAACAAGCAGACCCCACTAGAAAGTTCAAGCCAGGAAGCTTCATATTTTTTCAGTAGTTTGAGTTTTGTGTCTAAAACAAATAAATAGACGAGAGTGAATTCAAAGTCTTTTGCCAGTGACAAGTAAACAAAGAGCAACTAAATGTTTGAAGCTCGGTGATCACACATACTCTGCCCCTCTGACTTCAGTTTGTTGGTGTGGAAGTTGTTGCAGTTATAATCTGTGTATTTCAGGCCTTCTCTGCAGTGAATGATGATGCTTTTTTACATCATTGATAAACAGATGTGTGCTGTTGTTTTCAGGCCCTGGAGGTGATTCGGCAGCTGAAGGAGAGCATGGAGATCCAGAGAGCCCACATGAGGCTGCGGTTGGTGCTGCCAGCCAAAGAGGCCAAGAGGCTGAAGGAGAAGCTGAAACCGCTCCTGCAGGTCGTGGAGAGTGAGGATTTTGATGAGGAGCTGGAAATGGTGAGCAGCGTTTAATGGTATTTGTGGTTGTGACTGAATAATCTCTACTTTCATTCAATAATATGAACAATTCCATGAAGCTCCGCAGATCAGCTTTGTGTTTTTTAAACTGAAATTTTGTCTCTTACCATATTATAATGTAAAGCCAATATTATTATCCCTTTATTACTCTTTATTTTTCCCGGGTGTGCGTCTGTCAGGTGTGTCTGGTGGATCCCGGCTGCTTCAGGGAGATCGATGAGCTGATCCGCTGTGAGACTAGAGGCCGAGGCTCTCTGGAGGTTCTCAGTCTCAAGGATGTGGAGGAGGGAGATGAGAAACTATAGTAACCCTGCCCGTCAGAACTCTGCACCTTATCCACACTAACACGCTTCATTAGGGCACACAGACTGCAAACTCATGAAAAAAAATCTATGTTTATGGTCTGATTTATCACAATTTCAGCCACTTTCACCCTGTAAGGATTAATTTGACTGAAAGAAGTTATAATTTGCTGAGTGGAATATATTTTGAAAGCAGGTTTGAGAATTTATGCCTGAACTTTAAAGTCGGTGCTTATTTCTGATGTTTTCTCTTTTATTTATTCACTTTTTTTTAAGTCGATTACTAATTTAGCAGAACGTCTACACAAAGTCGTGTGCCATGTAGTCGCGCTCAGTATCCCATCCTATTATCTGTGGATCATTTCTTTATCCTGGTAAATTCTATTTTATTATAATAAGTTTGGTCTGTAATAAACACTATACAAAATATTATCTCTTGGGGGATTTTTCTCATATACGCTGCTTTGCAGAGGCGGCGCAGTGGTGCAGTGGTTCGCACTGTCTACTCACAGCAACAGGGTTCCTGCTGCCTTTTTCCTAATGACAGCTGGGAGGGGCTCCAGGCCCCCAAGACCCAGAATTAGTAAAGCAATTAAGAGGATGGATAGTAAACCAGCACAGGGTAATGACAAATTCACCTCCATTTTATTCTTTAAGAAAAAAAATAATGTACAGAATTCCATGGAATATCCTGTTTATCTTAAAGGTGTTCAGAAAGGTGACAATACAGCATTTATAAATATCATTAGTAGAAGAAACTATAAAGTAAAAGTGAGATGCAGCCCAAAGAGTGATGCAACTGTTGCTGTTTTTTTTAAATCAGAAATCAAATAAAAGAAATACAGCTGAGAAATCAGATCCTCGTTCACACATGAATATCAGAGACTGTCAAATTCAGAATGAGCATATTTTCCACAGTTTTCCTTTCTCACATGCAGCACACACAGGAAACGGTTCACTTCTGCTTGTTGGATTATAATCTGTGCTTTTGGCACATCGGCTTAATCCGATATAACGCAGACTTTTTCCTGTCCAGCAGCGTCACACGTTTGAGCTCTCGTATGCACTCCTGCTGGGTGAGGTTGTAGCACCTGATGTGGTGCTGGTAAGCTTTAATCCGTGCAATGATATCCAGATGCTGGCGTTCTTCTAGAAGACTGTAATTCATGCTTGTTTCTCACTGCTTATTGTGTGAGTAGGATGAGTACGTTTATGGTCTTATTCGCCACTGGGCCACAAATATTCATCTATTCAGAGACTCTGGCTTTATTTCCATCAAACATTTTCAAAAGACTGAAAAACTGATGGTTATATGATTTTTAAATTGCCCCTCACACCTCTTCATCTGCTCAGTGGCATAACTAGTTAAAAGAAAAAAAGTCAAACAACTTTATTAAAACATGTTTCTGAATAATTTGCAGTGCTTTTCTGTGTCCAACAGTTCGGTCCATGTAAAGTTGTATTGCTTTATTTACACAGTAAAATGTATTTGTGCGATAAGTTTTAGGATCGTTATTATCGGTCAGAATAGGTAATTTCATCAAGTAATGCAACAGACACCCAAAAGTATCACTTGAAAGTAATTTAAACTGTATAACAGTACTGCATTATGAACAGTTTGCTATCTTCACTGGAGGTGAAAACACTGCAAAGCAACATGCAAAGTTAAAGTCCTGCCCACATCCCTATCAGTGAAACTAGCCCCATGATAAATGACTTTCCAGTGCTGTGTTCATTACTTTTAAGCCAGTGCATCATTACCTAACCTGCAGCCACAAGTTTTCTTCAGCTCTTTGCTGATTTTCCAGTTTAATCCCTCACGCTCGGTTAAATATTGCATCACAGTCCTCTCATATAGGCTCTGATCTGCGTTCGTACTGGCTGTGTGTGAACGTAGTCCTGTTGATCCTGCTCAGTGGGTGACTGGCCTCCTCCTCTAGATTTGGGTACCTGCTGTCTGAAGTCTGCTCCTCCTGCCTCTGAGCAGTTGGGCATCTGGTGGTAAGAAACACCCCACCGGCAAGCATCAAGCCAAAAGAGATCCATCCAAGGTAGAGAGCAGGTCCCCAGTCCCTTTGTAGACCCACAGCACCCTCCAGTGGCTGACTGGTGTGGTGGCACGTCCAAGCTATGGGAACCAACAGTATGATCCCTGACAAAACAAAGAGACTACCAGAAAACACTTTGATCTGGCCTCGCTGAGGGAACCACACCATCCCCACTGTTCCGATCACTGAAGCAAAAGCCCCAGCGCCAATGGCTGCCAAAATCAGGGCTCTCCACGTCCGAAAACTTCCAGAAAGAGACATGAGAGACCGGTAAAAGGAGCAATGCAGGCTG